CAGGTGTACTGTAGACTCTGTAGACCTTTTGTATAATGGATACTAGGCTGCCTACATTGATCGCTGAATTTGCAACTCCCCTATTTTTGCCATGAGAGAAGTACAGAATCCACCGCTGTCTCATGGCATCGTGTTGATGATGCGACGATCGCTTCCCGTGAAGGTTGTCGACAAAGCAGAGAGCCTCTTCAAAGAGAGTCTTTTGAAACAGCTGGAGCAGGCCATGAAAGGAAGGGTGTCCTCGGCGCCCCATGTTCTGAGATTGTTTAGCAGATGGCAGATGGCAAATCATCCTACAAGCAATCAACTGGCTGCTTTCCACCAGTCGCAGCGGATTGGGCCTTCCACTAGCTTCTCGGAATTTGATTTGGGATAGGCTAAGTGTGGAATATGGCCGGACCGATAGATTCCAATTTGTGGTCCTATATGTGGACGGTAGGGATTGCACCTTTTTATCTTTTTTTCGGTGAGATCCGAATCTTGGGATAGGTGAGCCGAGTATATAATTCCATCCTAGCTCATGCATGTATGGAAGGGTCATTTTCATGCATGGTTTAAATGGATGTATCCTCCCTCAATCTGAGCAGGTCTTTTTGTAGCAGGGCCCTTTATTCCACTTCCATGATTGTTTCAGATAATGTATCTATTCCAGTCTGATGGATGGTCGTCTTTTTTACACCTTGTCCCTTGAAACCACTCGACTGCAGCCTCCCAGCTGGATTGACCCAAGGAAAACCCGCTGGAAACCCATGGCCTAACCCAGCCGAACCGAACACCTCAAAAAGCCCAGTCCGGTGGAACAACGGACTCTGCCACGTTCGTGGCAATGAGTGGGACCCCGTTCGCAGGGTCTTCAGGATTGGCACTTGCAACATCTTGGGGTTTTGAAAACCATTGGGTGATCGAATGTGATCGATGAGTCGACGTCCCTGAAATCATTCAACAGGTGGAGTGAATTCACTCCACCTGAAATCATGAGTTCTAACAACTACCTCCAACTTTTGGAGGATTTCGCAAATCAAACTAAATGAACTCCCTGAACTCATGGTCTTGTGGAGCTCATCACCTCTTTACTCTTCGTTTCTTTGGCTCGGACCACGGTGGCTTCCACTCTTCGGGGCTTCCGCCTACCTACCGCGCGCGAGGCCATCGGTGCCCCGAAAGAAGAACTCTTAGAGGCGAACGAACGAGCTCGTGTTCCGGGTGGGTCGGGTCGGGGGGTCCCGAGGGGTCGGGCCGTGGGCGAGGCGAGGGCCCACCTGGTTCTTAGTATATCACGTGAATTTCCTGTGGTAACTTAGTAGAGAAAAGGAGCAAAGGATTTCACAGAGATGTAGGGACATTGACCTTTCTCTTGAGTTTGGTAGCTTTTGTTGTCTATATCTATATTAGGCTAGGAATGGCTAGGACTTTTTAACAGCTACGGGCTCGACTTCATGTGTCTCTTCTTTTCCACCCGGATCTTTTCAATGCTCTGCTCCGTCCGTTTCACCGCTGCATGGCGGTGGACACCGCCCATCGGTGCAGGTTCTAGTGCAACGGGCCATGGCGGCGATGACGGTGCCGCTGGGAGTTCGACCGTGCCGACGGGAGTGTGGCCGGTGATCAGTCACCAGTCCCTTGTACAGCCGATGCATCGAAAGGAAAAGGAACTATAAATTGGATCTGGGGATGCCAAGAGTCACTTTTGTTTTTGACTGAATTATAGTAGGAAAATAGAACTGCAGTGGATGTGTCGCTTGCTGTGGCGAAGCAAATCGTCTAAGAGCACCGTCTGGATTCAATAGATTCTTGCTAGAGGTTGCAACAAAATGCCAATACGTGGTCATGAGGAGTCATGAGCGGTGGTTCTCAGGCAAGTGAGCGCAGCATAGCTCAACTACATTGGTTGATGAACCAAGTGGATCTGTGGGAAATTGAGTCTGTGGGTCCAACTTAAAAGATCGTCCGTAGAGGTCGATGTATCGTACAACATGAAGTTGTTAGGGTAACTTGTGATAGAAACACATGAGATATACCAGGGGCCATCCAAGGGGGCCTTTGTGAATTGACCCTTTGGATGTTAAGGGATGTCCATAAACCATCCCCTTTTGGGTCCTGGTAGAGTTGGGTCATCACGATAGATGTTTTGGGGGCCCCTTGGCCTCAGTACCCAGCCACCTTGCCTCAGTACCCAGAAGTTCTCGAAACATCTCACCCGCACAATTCTGCAATTGGCACTTCCCAGGAACTTTGGTAACGATACATGCGACGCCGTCGATTCAAGACAGCTTTGACCTTGACGTTGATCCCCCCTTTTGTTTCCACTTCGGAGCTTGGTTTTTCTTGGACATCAGATGTCCCGGGGAGACCCGCGCGCAGAGACGCTCCCCGCGGCGGGGTTTGCCCAACGAAGTTGCCGGCTGAACAGTCCAATGGTTTGTCGCTTCTTGGGGGCATTGCAAGGCACGTCCCAGACCATGCATCGGAGGGATTTGGCCAAATTTTCGTGATATATTGTAATATGTAATATATAGTATATAATAGTATATACTTATATGGGATGGTTACGGTTTGGCACTTGGTCATCGGACAGCTGCCAGCTCATTGCATCTGTAAACACCTGGAGGTCAATGTAGGCATTGACTTTGCGACCACCATGCAGCTCATGCCAACGTTGGGAGCACAGTGTTTTTGCGAGTGTTATTTTTGGTGCACGCGTTTTGGTTTGTTCAGCAGTGTTCCTGTGAGCAACTCGTGAACATTAAAACAATCGATCGATTTTATGTATTTCTATGCTTCCTGCAATATGGACCTCGTTATCATCGTCAAAATTGAAAAAGAACATGAACAGAGAAACTTTCGTTTGAAGCAACTTCTCCGGCAAAGACGGACCATGTTTTTCTTATCTTGTTCATGGCCAATGATTTGTTTAGATTTCCCGAAGAAGGGTGAAACCGAACCATTTGTTGCAGCCAGGGCACATGACAGGATAACTTTGCTTCAGCACATCGTTCAGACCATCACAAGTTCTCCATTGGCAACAGCAATCTTGTCTATTAGCAATAGGCCAATAGAACCCACCCCGGTAGAACCAACCCTACTATTTACTATTGCCCGGCTCAGGTTTCTTCAGCCTCTTTTCTTGATCGTGGTCAGGGGGGATGAATCCATCCAGGAGGTGCGCGTGCTATCCGTGCACTGCGGCACTGCGACGTGGAGCGGGGAGCGTGGAAGTCGCTCGCGGAAGTCGCTCCGCATGGGTCCGAATTTTCAGTCTGAAGGTTGGTCGGTCATGGGCCCCTTTTCTCAGATGTGCAGCCGAATCAAAGATGTTTTGATGATGATGATGATGATGATGAGGATGATGAGACAAAGGTCAGAACTGGTGTAGGCCCCAAGAGATAATATATCCTAGGGCTAGTGCTAGGGCTGCAAAATACCTTCTCAGAAGGTACCAAACGACCCTCCAAACCTATCCCGAACACCTTCGACATGGATTTTGAGCCCTGGAAATAAAGAAGATTTCACCTTTTCAACCCACCTGAATCCGTTTTTGGACCATGAGCCCCTGGCACCCCAAGGACTTTCCTCCTCTCGGGGTGCCGCACATCGACGTCAGTGCCGATGTGCCAGCGCGATGTGTTGAAGTGTTCGAATGGTTGAACGCCCGAAGCATTAGCTCAAGACCGGTTGCCTCATTCTGAGATCCGTGGCGACCTCAGTGCTGCGGTTGAGATTCATGAGTTGGGTGATTCATGTCCTGATTTTCCCAAATTATCCCAAAGTCTCATGCCGGATCCCTCCCCAAATTATATGCGGTCTGTGGTCCACCCCTTTCAATTCCCTGAGCTCAGGAGTTGACGGTCATACAGAGTATACACTCCAATTTCTGACCCCCCCAAGGTCCAACCCTATAGGGCTCTAAATGCCTCCACGTCGAAGGTGTTTGGCAGAATTTTGCAGGGTCGTTTGGTACCTTCTGAGAAGGTATTATGATATTTATTTGGAGAAACTAGTAGTAACAGAAGTATACTAGTAGCTCCTGGCATTACTAGTAGCAAGAAGCTACTAGGTTGGAGGCCATCGCTACTAGTAACCAGAAGCTACTAGAACAGGTAGTATGATTTGGAGTTGCAGGGGGTTGTGGCGCATGTCGTGGAGGTGATCGCTCCACGAGGAGAAACACCGCACCGAGGCACCTGACCCATGGCAGAGGCGCCTGCGAATGCCCCCGGCGCCCGGAAGGCCGGAGAAGCGGCACAGCACCGGTAGAGTGGGCGAGGGTGGTGAGATCAGTGAGATCACCCAACCCATGGGACTGGGATATCATATGAATTCTTCTGAAAATGATCCACTCCAACTGATGGATCACCAAACCCAGACACCCAGACAGGTCATGTGAGATATTTCATGTGACTCCATCAGCTGGGAGTGGTTGATTTCAGGCGAATTCAGCTTGTCAGGAGTGGCATGGATCATGCCTTCTAGTGACAGCTCGGTTTTCGCTTCAGACCGAGCTTGGGGATCTCTCATTGACGACCCCGGAGCGTTCACCCCTGCCGACCCCCACTGCAGGTGCTGGCCGATGAGGTGGCGGCGCCCTTCCGGGAAGAGATCCGCGAGGCGTGCGCTGGAGTCGTGGTGACCGGGCCCGGGTTCCGGAGCGCAGAACGGAGCGCGTTGAGGGGATGAATGTAAGACATTGTAAGACTGCTACGTAGAATGTAGAGACTTGATCAATACAGTAAAACCTCAATGCGCACTGTTGAATAAAAGCCTCCACATATGATTCCATATATGAAAAGCCTGTACAATCCAAATAGATTCAAATTCTTGACTTTTTGTTCAATTCTCTCTCTCTCTCTATATATATACTTATGAGTCACGTTACAGGCCACTGCAACTGTCTCTGGGTACAGTCAATGCCAAGAATCCCCCCAGAGATGGCTTCTTTCCTCCTCCTCTCTGCCTCCTCCGCACGGCCACGCGCCCGCGCCGGCTCGCAGGCCGTGGCCACCATGGGGGGCGTCGGCCCCAAGCTGGTGGGCTTCCTGGCGAACACGGACCCCGCCGCCAAGAAGTGACCCGGGCTGAGCGGGCCGTGTCACGGCCACTGTGCTTTGTGGAAACATAGAGACTGTGCTTTGTTTTCAGGTCGTTTGGGTGAAGTTTGGGTGGAAGATTGGCAGAGATGAAGGTTCATATTTTTCTTGAGCTGATGTGATGTATACCAAACCTATACAATAGTTCAACTGCTGGTTTCATGGCCGAGCTTCTCAACTGGGTGTGGCATGTGTTGAATTGAAGTGCCAGGTATGCTGAGTGGACGGGGAAGGCCATGAGTGCGGACAACCTTCGCTTCGAGCTTAGAGAGGTGCAGGAATCCAACCTCGAGGACGGGAGACCCCGGCAGACCTTGGTCGTTGGCCTTGGAGCCGACTCTAAGAGGCTGGCCGCCATGGCCTCCCCCAAAGACAAGGCAGCTTTGACATGACTGGCATGTCAGGGTTTCGCTGGTTGGTCTCGGGAAGGTTTCCTGTTTGGGCAACACTTACTTCCTGTTTGGGAAAGGGCGAACCCCAAGATTCCTCCAGAAAGGGAAGGGACTGGTGTCGGTCAAACTCTCTGCAGCATGCGAGAGAGATTCAAAGGAGCAGCCGGAATCAAGGGTTCTGACGGGGTATTCCTTGAACGTGGATGTTCAACGTTGTTCAACGTGGCTGAAACAACCATCCATGATCCATGTGTCTTTTTTGGGTTTCCAACGACTACATTCACTCGAGCTGCCACTCCAGGAAGAGCTCGAGAAGGCCAACAAAGAGGTCGGTGTCAGGGTGCTCAGCACCGAGCAACTGTTCCGGACCTGGTGAAAGGACTTGTCTACTATCGAGTCGACAGAAGGATCTGCAGGAAAGCTTCCGGATTTGAGGAAACGCAACATTGAGCGGCCATGGACCCTTTCCAGGAGATTTGCCCGCAGAAGCAACTCACTTTCAACTTTTGCATGGAGTTGCCAGGGCTTTCAGGGAACCCCCCAGCCCCTTAGATGGGCCACCATAGGATCGCTCTTTCCTTTTGGATTAGTCTGGAAGTGAGTTTGTTCCAGTCAGCTGGTCAGCTACGACCCAGGACCATCGGTGGGGGTGACCCAAATAGACAGAAAGCCATAAAGCCGTGACTAGGTTTCCTATCGCCATCAATTTCCTTTTCTTTTGTTCTTATAGATGTATATTTTTGCCACTTCTCCCATATGCGCCATACCTATTCCCGCGTGAAGTTGAGGTGGATGGCATCATGATCTACTACCCGGTCTTCGGGCAGAGACCCAGCTTCCACGGCGGCTCTCATGATGACTACCTCCGCGACACGGTGTCGCCCTACAAGGATCGGTCGTGGCTCGGTGGGTTGGGATCGGCGGCAGATTGGTGCGGCCGGTAGGCCAATTGGATGCCCAACATGCTGGAAACCATGCAAGGGTCAGGCTGGATGAAACATGCAAGGGTCAGGTATACGGTATACATAAATATACACTCTCTCTCTCTCTCTCCCAGGGTCAGAAAACCAGATCAAACAGCAGTACTCTGAATCAATAGCACACTCAAGATACTCAAGCAATTGATCAACGATGGTGTCATGGCAGCTGTAGGCTGTAGTTGGGTCATGAGCGTATTCCTCTACTAAGATCTACTAAGTATTGGTCTTGGTGTTGCCATGTTCCATGATTTCTCGCTTGGTTTGGGGCAAACAAACCATGACCCCATGACTGTATATATAATTGTAAGGCAGTTCTCCAGTATGAAATGAAGACTTTTTAAACATCCAGCTCAAAGCAAAAAGACATCCTCACTGCCTGGCCAAAGAATTTTCCTGTGTGATGGTCATCGTCAGCGTTCTCTCATTTCTTCCACAGGATGCCGAAGGCTTGAACCACTTCTACCGCCGGGCGCTCTACCAGAACAAGCGCTACGTGGACTCTGAGTGCGCTAGTTGCATTAGGAGTTGGATGAGCGGACAAAAGCAAGGTATGAAAAAGTGAACTAGTCACAGATAAACATCCTTTTGCTCCCAATAGAGACTTGAATTGGACCTCGCAATGCCCTCTGGGCTGCCCTGAACCTTTCGCCTTCGAATCTTTCTTTCGAATCGCCTGGGCCGATGACGCGGTGACGTGGCCGATCCTTTTCATCGGACGATCGGTTTCCTGCGAAAAATACCAACACGAAACCAGGATTAACCAGGACCATCCGACCATTTGGGTGTGGCTGGACTGCCCTAGTACTACAACACGACTTAAGGATTTCCAGACAGGACACCCAAATGGTCGGATGGTCCAGGTACCAAAGCGACCTGCCCCGAACACTGCGACCCGCCCCTGGCGATGCGAAAGCCGTGCCACGCATGGCTCAACCGCATCGCCACGCTCCGAGGAGCACGAAGAAGTGCGTGCTGCCATGCACTCCACTGGCCGTTGCCAAGAGCTCAGAAGATCTGGCTCCGGTCTCCAGGTTCTCCCAGGTCTCCCTAGGTCTCCTAGGTCTCCCCAGGTCGGTCATTTCTAGGTAGTTGTAGGTATCCCATGGTGTCTGCAGGTGGTGCCATTTGGGTCGGACTGAATGTCTATTGATAGTTCCAACACTCCATCTTCCAAACCTCCGTAGATATGAACATAGAAGATAATAGAAGTGCAATTACTAAGATTAAATCGTTCGGGAATTGAATCATCAAACGGTGTTAATTATAGCACACATGGCCAGTACGTGCAGATACTTTACAGTAGATATCTTTATATTTTTCAGAAGACACAGCGTATACCGCAACAGCTTGTAGATTCCTACTACAATGGAACACGTGATCCTATTGATCTAAGACAAGCACACACACTCAGACACAGACATCTATGGCACCATCCTTGGCACCGTTTGGGAGAGGGACGAGGTTCTGGCCCAATGGTCCCTGTCTTGATCTCGAGGTGAAGACCTTGGAGCATTTGCAGGTCTACGACCCTTCCTTGCCCGTGGGTGAGCGCATGACGGGGAAGACGGCCGTGGTGGTGAACAGGCCGGTGGGATCCACTGGCATGTGGGGCGAAATGGAAGGGCAACAAAAACAAAGCGGGCTATCCGAACTCTCTCGCTTTTCCTCACGCTTTCTTGACATATATGGGGACATATATGGGGCTTATATGGATGTATTTTCTTCTTTTATTCCTCCCCATTTCCACAGGAGGAGGCCCAAACGTTGCACCAGAGGTGGTCTCGCTGCCGCGCACACAGCGCGGCTTACCTCGCCTCGGTCCCTCGGTCCAGGTCCGAGGTGGTGGGACGACCCGTGGCGGCCATGCTGGCGTGCGGGGTCTCAGGGAGTGGACGGATGGGGTGTGGATGGATGGCCTACCAAACAGGGATGGCCTACCCGGTGGGGGTGGCCTACCTGGTGGATGGCCTGGTGCCGGGTGTGTGGGGAGAACGCCTCATGAGGTTTCCAGCATTCACCAAAAACCGTGTTTTTCTTCCGAAGGTGCTGCATAGAGCAGACAATTCCGGCGTGCTATAGGTTGAACTTGTGAGAGTCCGCACTCCTGATGCGTGGCGGAGTTGGGAACGCCCACCTAAAATCGCAATCATTCAAGCAGGGCCCACAACTCCTACTCTGGAGGGAACACTTCGAGGTGAGGAGGATGAGGAGGCATTTTTGCCAGAAGATGACGGAAGCACTAGGGCACCATTTCAAGCTGAATTGACCAGAGCAGAATCGGAAACTGAATTCAGGACGGGGAACCCCGTGAGATTCACCGTTCGGCAGCTGCTGCTCGCAGCTGCTCCGCCCAGGAATGACGGTGCAAAGGTCTGGAGTGTAGACATCGATTCCGTGTGAGACCCTCAGATGATGAGGCGTCGTTGGAGTCTGAAGGCTTGGCATATAGTAGGATGATGTAGGCTAATTTATATATATATATATAGCCTCCCCTAATTGAATTGAAAATTGAAACACCTCTTCATATGGGGTGATTATTAATCAAGAGTTTACAATGGTTATGTAGAAGAACTGATGAGAACTGGCATGATTTGATGCAACAACGAGCAGTCACCTAAGTCACCCCAATATGATTCAATCAAACGCCACTCGAAACAATTCAGAAATCAAGCCATACCAAGAACCCCTATCAAAAGGCGCCTTTATCCCATCGTTTTCCCACGCTGAACTGGCCATGTCCGCAGCTCAGGTACATCTTCATGCGTGGGAAGCTCGTCCTGCCAGCTGAAAGCATCACCACTGAGGTGCATCTCGTCCGGCCGCGGCTCGGCGTCCCCTTGGAGTGTTGGGGGCTCCGTTTGAAACCGGTGGCCAAACCGGTGGCCGGCACCTCGAAGAAATACCTCGGCCTCGGTTGGTTGAACCCCATTGGCCCGTGGCGAAGCCCGAAGCGTTTACATCCAGCAACCCACCGGGGACCGTCCGACTGGAGCGTCCGACCGGTCAAAAGCACGGTGGTTCAGGCTGCGGTGAAGGAGGCGGATATCGTGATTTTGGGAGTGCCCAGCGTGACTGGGCGGCAGAGCGGCAGTTGCGGTTATGTGCTGTGCCAAGATCCGGAGATTTATAGCCGCAAGGTCCAGTGATGTGGAGTGTTTGGTTGTCGATGTGGAGGGGCTCTGCCGAACAGGGGCAGGGTGACCAGGATTTCTTCTGGTTGCTTCTGGGTGCCCATTGCAAGCGCTTCAGGCTCTGAAAACCACAGGTTGAGGCTTTTGGTGAGGGCAGTTTCCCTGTGTTTCGTCTAGAAGTCTAGAACCCACTTGGCAGTATAGCGGTTGTTTGTGGAAAAATCTACACCAATTTGGGGGGATGACGTTGCTTTTGGAAATGGAGGCTTGCAGGAGTCCTAGAAGAAAAACGTCAACTGCTGTCAACGATCCACACGGTGACTCTCGAATGGACACGGAACGACCATGACGCCGTGACGGACGATGGGAGACGGCCGTGACGGACTCATGGGAGATCCGACCCTGGAAGTACGTGGATCATGTGCTGGGACACACCTTGCTTTTTTTTATTTGTTCTGGAGATTGGATTCCCCACTCCAATCCAACTGGTGGACAATCTGAAAAAGGTTAACTGTTTTGTTCATCTTCAGATAATTTGTATATGTTCTTTGATTTTTTTGTGGTGAAGATGGGGTCCGTACTTCATGAGACGAATGATGACCCAGACGGGCAGAGGATGAGCCACTTCTGAGGAGAAGTACAAGATGGATCCCTCCTGGATCAAGGAGGGCGCCGTGGTCATCAACGTGGTGAGGATGCCCAGCTGCGATGCCGAATGCGAGCTGGCAGTGATGGCAGTGGTGGCTTAGAGATGCCAGGCCTGGATTCACGTGCAAGTTCCATTTCCATCACCCAAGTGAGTGCCTCAAACACCAAAAACTCCCTGGCAGCGTGGGTGTTGGGTACAGCGAGCCGAGCAGGCCTTTGGCTCCAGGCCGCTTCACAACAGGTCGGGTTTTGATCACGTGAAAGGCTCGGGGAGTGGTTTCGATCCGCGCCGCCTTTCTTGAGGCCACCAGTAAGAACATCGATGAGAAAGCCCTCCTGTCCACACGACCTGGGGTCAGGCGAGGCGGCGAGGAGCCGAGAGGTTGGGGAGAGACCTCAGGTGTGCTGAGAGGTACAAAGCAAGAGGTCTCCTGAAGCAATTCTTCAACCTTCTTCATCCCTCCACAAAAGGACGGGATCGAACATGTTCAGACTCTGATGAACCCTCCTGCTGTGCAGGTGGGACAGATGGATGACCCATGGAAACAGGGGACACCCCGGAACTTCGTTGAACTTAGAGGCATGCAACACCCAGGGCAGTTTTTTGCAGTATGTGTATGATTTTCCAGTGTTTAGTTGGCTGAGAGAATGTGCAGTTTGCTGGATCAGGCATGCTGCCACCACCCAGGTATTTCCTGATTCCCCCTGGTTTGATTTGCACTGGTTTCTTAAACTCTATGGTGAAAGTGAAAGACCTTTCTGATATTTTTATGTCAAAAGAACGAGGCTGAAGAAATGCAGCGAAACCATCTTTCCGTCACTTCCAGACTTGGTGACCCGGGTTCTCCATGACCCTCAACCATCCAAAAAACGCAGAACAGAACATGTGAGAGACTCTCCCAACCACAAAGCTTCGCTGTTCTCATAAGGTGTGTTGTTTCACGCTAGGATGTCTAATACATGTCTCACTTACCTACCGTTTGGCTCAAGGAAAACCAGGTGCGACTTGTTGGTAGTTCTCGGTCGTTTACCTGTAACTACAGGTTATCAGCCGTATCGCCA